AATGGAAAGCGATTGCGAGGCAGACTTCGATCTCTCTTCCTGGTCCTGGTTTCAAGATAGATAATGGATAATCCACATATCTGCATTGAATATGAATCACAGGGTGACGATAGATTAGGCTCAAAATGGGGCCAAGCATCCTTTGATTAAATCCTTTGAAGACATCACCTAAGAGTTTGACACATTCACAAAGGATCCCAACATGAAAGGAACAAAGAACGAGCAAGAAACAATCACTTTTTTCAGATAAAACAATCAGAGGCTCCGTGCTAACCGGTAACAATTACACTTTGTTTGCTTTTGTGACGGTATCTTTTTCATCCACTAGTAAGCAACATCAACAATGCATCCACTTACTGCTGGCAGTAATAACGACGATCGAACCTTATCAAGAAATATTGCCGTGGCACTGATGATGCTCGCTTCGTTGTCGTTATCCAAATCATGTCTAATGCACCCGTCGATGCATCATATACGATGGCATAATCATGCTCTTTGCAAATGCTTGCTTCATTGCTGTTTGTTTGAAAAAAAATATGCCGAATGCGACTAGTCAGAGCTACAGCCGATCCAGCAATTCAGCTAAAATGCTGCACTTCGCTAACTCCACCTCTCTCTTTCTCTCTCTCTCTCTCTCTCTTTTCAGGAGCTTGCTTGAAAGGGAATGTATTGCAAGTGGCGGTGTTGAGCTATCAATGATGGAAATGTGTGTGGGGGGATTGTGTGTGGGATATAGAGAGAGTGTATGTCTTGGGGATAGCATGCATGTGTGTGTGGGTGCTGGGTGCTGTGTGTGAGAGCTTTGAGTGGGTGTGCTCCGAGAGTGTGTGTGTGTGTGTGTGCCAATGCTGCTTAGGTGCTGTGCTAGCTATGGTAGAAAGTAAAAGAGTGTAACAGTGTGTAATATATATGCCCTCCAGTGCACCATGCGCTAACCTCGGGGAATTCATACATTCAACGCAATGTGGACAGAGGATGGGAGATTTATATGTAGAAGACATCTGCATTGCTTGGTATTTTCTCTCCTTTTCATGAAATGCTTTTAATCATATTCTGTAAATAAGAGCCAACTCTTTTCTCTAGGTACTTACGACAATATTAAAATAATTTCTTCTTTTCTGTCCCTCCAATTTCATCTCCTTATTCTTTCTCAAACTCCAATTTTCCCCTCATTTTTCAATCCATTGTTTTATATATTATTTGTTTCTTCTGTGTTATGTCTTAAAAATAAGAAAGTTACTTCAATGGGTTTACAAAGTATTCAAATTATATCAACTGCAAATGGGTTCTGTGCCATAGATTCTTTCTCAAAATTTTTTCCAATTTTAACATACTTTCCTTTCACTAATTATGTTACTACAAACACAGTCAAATCTAACATATTACAAGATATAGTTGGACAATGATCATATGATTTCATTTAGACGGAATAGAAGTATTTGGACAACATGATTATTTAGTACATCATTAATAGAGTAAACTGCATTTGGTTTTTATTCATAATACTCATCGGTGAAAAACTATGTTAGGTCCAAAGGTGTCGATCATTTCTAGTTCGTACTTGGAATATCAAAGCATGTTCCCCCCTCATCCCCCCTTCTTTTGCGAATTCCAAATCAAAATATCAAAAGACACCTGAAAATGTTGACAGTATGAGGGTGATCGTTTATTTTCTTTCCTTGCTAGTCATAGATTTTTCAGTAATACCACCTTTCTTAGTACTTCGGTAATATGATTCAACATGCCAGCAAAATGTGCATGTCTCTTCTTTGTATTTCTTCTATTTTTACTCTTCTCCCTTCTAACTCATCTGCTTCTAAATCAGACAATTCACTGTGCAGACTGCATACTGATATGATTTTTCAATAATACCACCTATATTCGTAAGACGATTCAACATGCCAGCAAAATGTGTATGTCTCTTCTTTTTTCTCCCTTCTGTTTTTACTCTGCCTTGTCTGCCTTGTCGGCCTCTTCTGCTTCTAAATCAGACAATTCACTGCATACGGACAGAAAGAAATCAATCACAAATTTAAAACACATTATTTTTTAGCCATGAACTCGGCATGAGTGGCACAAATATGTGTTTTGTGTATTTGGATGTTAATCGTCTGCTCTGTCTCCTAGTGTACACGTGTATGGGATTTTAATTAGGTACAGCTTGGAGAGTTTCTAATGAAAATTGGAATTCCCTGCAGAATCACGTTGCTAATGAGACATAATGGGATCATCTATCACAACTCACAAGCATTAAGATCACCATAAAGAATCAAGTGAACAAGAAGGGGGAAACTTGATTTGGGGAGGAGAGTGAAAAACAGAGAAACAAATAAGACCCCGTTCTCACTCACTTCGTTGGAGCGCTCTGGAGCGCTCTAACTAAGACCCGCTCCTCAGGAGCGGTTCTTAGGTGAGTGAGAACGCTCAAAGTGGTCCAGGAAGCGGACTTCTGGACCGCTCGAGAAGTCCACCTTCCGAGGTGGTCTTGAGGAGCGGGTCTTATTAAGAGCGCTCCAGAGCGCTCTAACGTGCAATGTGAACGGAAAGCGTACTTTGAACGGAAGTGACGTTCCGCGCGATGAGCGATAGGGCAGACACTACACATATACATGTATACGGGACGCGCCGCGAACGGGACATCAGGTGGCATAGGGTTTGGATTCCGCGCGCGAAAAAATCGACCCGCCTACCTGAGCTGCCATAGCAACAAGACCACTTTGACTCATGGAGCGGTTTGAGCCATAAAAACTGCTCGGAGTGTGAACGCTCGCAAACCGTTCCTCAAGACCCGTTCCTCTGGAGCGGTCTGGAACGGTCTAACTAAGACCACTTTCAAAGTGAGTGAGAACGGGGTCTAAGAGAGGGACTGAAATGGTGAAGTAAAGTGATACAATTAACCATTTTCGTAATGTAACCAAATTTAATGCATGCACCTTCTTAACGTGCCTCAATACAAATATATTTCATTCACCTGTAAATTAATAATTGTATTTGAATAGTCAACATCCAAAATACAAATATTGCGTGTTGTTAGGTAGGACATGCCATAATGGCTGTTCTACATCGCAGCAACTAATGTATGCAGTTCGCATTCTGACTATTGAAATACAATTATTTGTAACAGATGAATGAAATATGAATGAGGCACGCCACAAAGATGTATGCATTAGATTTGGTTACATTATGAAAATGGTCTACTGATGCCAATGAAATAAATGAATGCAAAAAATCTATTTTCACTGCTTTCTTTTTCCTGCAGCACTTAAATAAATGTTTAGGGCTTGGGGTGACAATTTTGCTTACATGTAGATGATCAAAAATTTGGTTGATACTACCTTCTTGAAAGCAATGGAGCAATCTGCTTAATATCTAGGTCTCCATGTTTTGTATGAGCTAGTGGGGAATAATTTCCTATAAAGATTTTTTTTTTTTTTCTTGGGAAGGAAAAGTCAACTAATATTGCTTCTATTTTCATTCTCTTTTTACTGACAAAGGAGAAGGTATGCGCTTTTATTCTCTTGTGGTAGAACTTTAATAAACGAGGTGAAGTTACTAAATGCTTCTGTATTTCAAATGCAATTGAAAACGTTTTCCCATTTTTCACAAACAAATTTGGTAATCCCATTTGTCCATTTTGATGTTTGTGATATTGCCTACAACAAGATATTTCATTACAGTGTTTTCTAAACTTCAAACACACCTTAATAATACACAGTTCTTCTTGTTTCCTATGTAAATAATATTTCACAACAACTTTTAGAGAGCATTTTAGAGAGCATTTCAAAATGAATTCTACTCTGAATACTCCTAAAAATTCAGAATATCGTTCAACTATTACTGCTTCGATATTCTAATTATATCTGTACTATTCTGTCATTGGAGCAATGGTAGGAGAACGGAATCTTATATAGAAAAAGACAAATCAGTAAGAAAAGCGACACCTCATTTACATAGAGAATGAATGAGAAATAGTTATGTAAACAAATCAGACTGCTGCATGGCAAGAGGGCATGTTTTATAAAGGCCAAGTAGGCACTTAATGATGTATGGAGTAGTCCTATCCAAATATATGGAGTGGATACAAACACATAATTGACACAGATGTAGTGCTAGTGATTGAACCCCATTTCAAAATACTTTCTACAATGTGAAATAGATCACTAGTACTGCAGATTATTATCATCAGAGCTGTTATTTACATACAAGACTGATTAAAAAAGAAGAAGAAAAAATCTCCTTTTTGCAGCATCATTCATCTATTGTAAACATTATCTTCAAATATATAGTAAGCTTATCCTTCACATTAAATATATCAAATATCAATTTTAATCGATATAATTATAATGTAGTATTTATTTTAACATACCACTTTATAATTTACAAACGTTTTTTTTTGTGTGATGTTTTTCCTAATTTAAGTCATTACCAAATTTTCAAATCTACTGTTTTTCATGCATTTTTACATGACACAATGTGAACCAATTATTGTTAGTCTTGGACTTTTTATTTGGTATATTTTCAATAAAAATCGAAATTGGTTTTAAAAAAAAAAAAAAAAAAAAAGAATTACCGGTATTCTTTAGCTCACAAAAGGCACTTTGGTATTTTGCAAGGCATTTCCTATGTCTCTTTGCTAATACAAGCCATTTTAAACCACAGTCACACCAACAATTAACTAACAAAAGACCCCCTTAAAACCAGAACAAAAAGACTCTCCTAAAGGGCCAGGAATTGGTCCAGGCTGAGTTGGTGTGGATTCTAATACGCGTATTAAGGTATTAATATTTGTAAAGGTATATGATCCCGTACAATTCTCAATGTATATATATTGTATGTGATTTTTTATGAAATAATACATTGAATTGAATTGAATTGAATTGAAAATAAGGTTTCATAATAGAAGCCAAATTATACAAAAAAACTTTAGGGTACTTAAGAACTAGTCCGTCAAGAGTTAGAAAGGTATAAACATAATAATAGAAATGAGGTTTGCCTTGCTCTTAATGGCACAGTCACACGGCCACTTACGGTAGCTGCGGATGCTTACGGATAAAAGTCCGTAAGCATCCGCAAGGATCCGTATCATCCGTAAGCATCCGTATCCATCCGTAATTCAATCCGCAGGATCCGCAGACATACGCAGATCCGCAGCGGAATTTTGAAAATCTCAAAATTTTGCTGCGGATGAAATATACGTAAGCATCCGCAGAATATACGTTATCCATACGTAAAATACGTAACTCATACGTAAGATACGTAAACTCATCCGCAGGATACGTTAGATACGTAACTGATCCGCACACTTTGTCGGGTGTGCGGATGCCTGCGGATACATAGGGGTACGTAAACACTATTACGTAGGAGTTACGTATGTTTAACGTATTTTTGACATATATATTGCGGATCTTACGATAGGACTTGCGGTAATTGCGTATGCTTGCGGATGGGATACGAATATTACGGATGGGATACGGATGTTACGGATTAGATATGTATGTTACGGTTGAGATACGGATAATATGCGGAATTTTTACCTATGTCTTCTTTCATTTCGGCGGATGTCGCCCATGCCAAATGGTCTTCACTTGGGTATGCAACCCTGGATGCTGCCAGCATCCTCATCATTGTCAGTTCTTCAACTGTAGACTTTCACAGGTCACTCAAGATGGAGAGAGAACGCCGCCTTGTGTTGCTGGATTGTTTGATGGCCATCCAACACAATCAGATGCAGATGAAGATCCTGATGGCCAAGATGCAAGCCATCCTTGAAAGGAGAAAAGAGAGGATGTGTTGGGTTCGTCACTGGATCACATTGCGACCACACCAGGGTGCCTATGGTAACCTGATGCACCTGCTACGCAATGAGGATGTTCAGGGCTTCCGCAACTTCACCCGCATCACACCTGCCATGTTTGCCGAAATGGTCACCCGCCTCACTCCTCGCTTACAGAAGTATGATACCTGGTACAGGAAGGCCCTTCCAGTATGCTTGAAGGTCGCCATCACCATGCGCTACCTTGCCAGTGGGGACTCCTACCACAGCCTGATGTACCTATTCTATGTACCCCACAACACCATCTCACTCTTGGTGTTGGACGTGTGTCAGGCCATCTACGCTGAGTATGGCGAGGAGACCATCAGCAACCCATCTACTCCAGAGGGGTGGAAGGGCATTGCCCAGACCTTCTCCGACCAGTGGAACTTCCACCATTGCCTGGGAGCCTTAGATGGCAAGCACATCCGCATCAAGGCACCCGCGAACTGTGGCTCCCAGTTCTACAACTATAAGGGGTACAACTCGATTGTACTCCTTGCCCTGGTTGATGGCAACTACAAGTTCCGGTGGGTGGAGGTGGGAGCAGGTGGTGCGAGTTCTGATGCCCAGATTTGGAACACGTGCAGTCTGAAAGAGGCAATTGACGATGAGAACATTGGAATACCACCAGATGAGCCACTGCCTCATGACGATCGAGACATCCCTTATTTCGTGATTGCTGACGCTGCATTTGCACTACGCACCACCCTGATGAAGCCTTTTGGTGCCAAGCCACTGACCATGGAGGAGAGGATATTTAACTATAGACTTTCCAGAGCCAGGAGATGTGTGGAGAATGCCTTTGGCATTCTTGCAAACAGATTCCGGTGTCTTCTGAGTGCTATGGCACAGGTGCCTTCCACAGTGGAGACCATCGTCCTCGCCTGCCTGTGCATCCACAACCTCCTGAGAGACCAGGCATCCGCTGAGCAGAATGGCATGATGGACAGAGAGGACGACCAGCACAACATCATCCCGGGTGCATGGAGAGAGGGGGGCGTGCTGGATGACATGCAACAGAGGCTTGCTGGCAACTACACCACCAAGATTGCCAAGCGCCAGCGCCTGTACCTCAAGCATTACTACAATGGCACCGCCGGAGCAGTTCCCTGGCAGCAGCGCATGGCCTAAGCAGTTGGCCAAACATAACAAACAGACAAATCATGCAACTCTTGATGCTTAAATTTGACAACAAAAAAATTGAACAAGGTAACGAAAGGATGTAAATTTATTTATAAAATCTGTGTTGAGAAAATCTTTAAAACTCCTATTTCACAAAACAAATGGAGGAACATTGTTTAAAAACCAATTGTTACTTGGGACAAAATTTATACGATTCCTTTTAAATGTTCTTTATCAAAAAAACTTAAATATTTACGATATAAAATTCTTCATAATATCCTTGGTGTTAACAAGTATCTGAAAACTGTTGGTATATTAAATTTGTGTTCTTTTTGTTCAAAACACTCTGAAACTATTGCCCATTTATTTTGGGAATGCCCCTTCAATCGTCGATTTTTAGATGATTTTGAAAAATACACTCTCAAAAGGGGGGTGGGGGAACCGTCAGCTCTGCCAGGGATGGTCCCTCTTCTTCTACCTTTTGAGCCTCTTCCTCTGCCTGGGGAGGCTGTTGTGGCTGCTCACTCACTGGAGGATTCTTCCTGGTTTTTCTGCTACTTCTTCTGCCAGACATGATGCACACGAAAGTCCAAAAAGATGGAGAAGAAACTGTTGAATAACTGGAACTAGATCTCAGACTTGATGAAATGCGACTGAAGCAAGCTCCGATCCACGTGGGTTTATATGCGGATGGTGCGGACGCCAGAGGAAGCCGACATGCGCAGACACGAGCGTAACTTATCCGTATCGTCCGTAAGTCATCCGTATCGTCCGTAAGTCATCCGTATCGTCCGTAAGTCATCCGTAAAATCCGTAAGTCATCCGTAAGTCGTCAGTAACATGTGTCAGCGGGTTGGCAGCGGATGGGTTCATCCGCAGGTTTTACCCGTAACATCCGTAATTCATACGTAACATCAGTAACTAATCCGTATCGTCCGCAGAATATAGGTAACTTTTGCTCAAATTTCCGTATTGGGGTTAAAAATTACGCATTTTCATTATCCAAATATACGCAGGCATCCGCAGGTCCGTAACATGGCCGTGTGACTGTAGCATAAGAGATGAAACATTACTCCTCACCTTCAGCGAACCTTTCATATTGTATCATGGAAATGAGCTTTCTAAGAATTAGTTTGGAAAAAAATCTGGATAAAAAAGTGTGAAATTTCAGTTGAATTCAGAGAGACAGAGAGGGAGAGAGGGGGGCAGAGACAGAGAGAGAGAGAGAGAGAGAGATACAAAGGGAGAAAATAAGAGCAGGAGAGAGAGAGAGAGAGAGAGACAGGGTGACAGAGAGAGAATAAAAGAAAGGGGCGGAGAGCTTTCCAAGAATTGGTTTTTAAAAATCTGGATAAAAAAGGGTGATATTTTTGTTGAATTCTAGAGGCTTTTATAACTCCAACAAATATGGAAGGATGCCTCTGACTAAACATTGATTTCAATCAAACTTTTCTCACCATATCGTGAGAGTGCTGGATTTCCCAGAATTAATATGAAAAAGATGCTTTTAAATATAAAAAAGGCAGAGTATGATATCACATAGTTTGTTCAACTCCACTATACTCAAATTATAGCGAATTGAGAGGGATAGAGCGAGGGAGGGAGGGAGAGGGGGAGAGGGAGAGGGAGAGGGATGAAGAGAGAGAGAGAGAGGGGGGGGGGGAGAGAGAGAGAGAGGGGGGGGAGAGAGAGAGAGGGGGGGGCAGAGACAAAAAGAGAGATACAAAGGGAGAATATAAGCACAAGAGAGAGACGGTGACAGACAGAGAATTAGAGATTGGGGTGCAGAGAACAAGAAAGAGGGGAGATGTAGAGCAGGGTTAGGACGAGAAAGAGAAAAAGATTGATCAAATTTTAGCAAATTGAGAGGGATATAGAGAGAGGGAGGGAGAGAGAGAGAGATAGAGGGGGAGAGAGAGATAGAGGGGGAGAAAGAGGGGGGCAGAGACAGAAAGAGAGATACAAAAGGAGAAAATAAGAGCAATAGAGAGAGACGGTGACAGAGAGAGAATTAGAGATCGGGGCACAGAGAACGAGAAAGAGGGGAGATCTAGAGCGGGGTTATAGGATGAGAAAGAGAAAAAGATTGATCACTGTATGGTGTGATATTTCAGTTGAATTGCGGAGGCCTTATAAATCCAAGAAATGTATGGATGGATGCTTCCGGCTAAATATTGATGGGTTTTAAATATGAAATATAGATGTGAACAGTCGAATATGTGATAAAAGAAATTATTTTTTGAAGGTAAAGGAAACAATTCAATATGCTTCATAAAATTGTAACATTCATGCATGAGAACAATTATTCTATTAATGTAGTCAAACAAATCTATGTTTACTGGTTGCGAATCAATGTAGTTACTTTTTCATCTATTTTTCACATTCCATGCATATCAGTATAAGATTATCAGCTTTTCTTATGTCATATTTACAAAACCCTACCTTTTGCTGTCATAAACTGTGTTGATTTTTTTGTATTGTGTCATACTATCCGATTCAAGTTTCAACATGTTTCAGATATTATATTCAATGCCCCCTCCCCCTACCCCCTTCCCCCTGCTCCGGTTACATGCTTGCAGACTACTTTTCTGCTTTGCTGTGGCCCTCCACACCCTTTATTTGTTCTCCATTCATTGATAATTAGATCAGTAGAGTCCAAGTCATTCATATTTAATCTGTTTAATCAAAGATTCTCTCTACGAATCCATCCCATCCTTAATCAAGCTCCGCCCAGTCCATATTTTCCTCATCACGGCTCCTCATTAAACATGTGCCCATAACACCCTGGACTGATTCAGCCTCGTCGCTGTCATGCAATATTGAGTAATAAGCAAACAATGATTGCGGGGGCGGTGGAACAAACTATCTTAGGGCTAAGTACTGTCTTCCCGACCCGCCCATGGCATGGAAAGATAGTATAGCCCACAAGACCACTGAAGCGGAAAGTTTTCCAAAAAATTATTAACTTTCTCAGGAAGTATTCTCATAACTAAGAATATGTCTCACTAATGCAATAAAAACAACCCTAAAATAATAAATAATATATAATCATAAGTAGAGGAGTAGTTTCAAAGGCATGGGAAGATAGTATAGCCAACAAGACCACTGAGAAGGAAAGTTTCCAAAAGGATTATTAACTTTCTCAGTAATTATTGTCATTACTGAGAATATGTCTCAGTATTGCAGTACGAGCAACCCTAAAATAACAAATGATATATAATCATAAGTAAAGGAGTAGTTTAGAAGGAATACCATCCCATTGTTGCTACCCATTAACTTTGTTTTCTATCACTTTTGAACTTATCTTTCTACTTGAATTTTGACAAATTTAACAAAGTTAATAGTTTCTGTAAAGCAGTTTTGGACAGCAGTTTTGGACAGCAGTATTGTATTTGAATTTTAGAGTGAACATGGAATCTAAACATATGATATAGTAAACCATACTAAATAATACGTCCTTGTTTTCACGAAGTAAAGGTAGTGAGGAAAATCGTAACGCAAAGTGAATGCAATTTTTTTTCACTACCGTCACTTCGTGAAAACAGCGACGAATAGTCACAATTATATAGCGCTTAATACTACACTTCTAAGCGCTTTAGGTTGTAATTATTATTATAAATGCCTACAGGGACCCCAAATTAAGATCAAGGCCTCACTTAACGACTTCTCCTGTCTCTTCTTGCTGACCTCTCACTCAGGCTTACAAATGACTTCTTGAATAAGTTATTATCCTTAGGGATACCTTAATAATTCAATAATTGATTGTTATAGGAGACTGGGGTGGAAGGGCATTGATAATAGTGCAACCGATGAAAGCAACTGAAGTATGATGGCACTCTATTTTCTTGAAGACAACAAATTGAATGGATAATGGGAGGTCTTTCCTTATATATTTATTTGTCGGCTGAGAGGCAGATAGGTGTTAATTACTCTAAAACCATTATTATTTTATTTTGTTACTGTGTTACTGTTGTTTTTGTATTTGTTATTATCTCATATTGCTTTTTATATTATTGTATTTGATTGTTATATTGTTGTAAATCTGTTATTGGATGTGAAATAAATTGAACTGAAATTGAACTGAATTCATATTTTTTCATGCAGAGATAATATACACAAGGAATAAGAAAACATTAACAGAATGTCTTTTTCCAAACAATCCAAAGTCACCTTGAAAGGGTTATCTACATATTTTGCATAGTAGGTGAGCAAAAAAAAATAAATAATAATTTAACACAAAGTCAACTGTTTGATAATGCTGTTTAAAATTCATATAGCTGTAGGGAAAAGCTGATCAAATCACCATACAGCTAGATACATGAATGGTGGAGATGGTAATACAGTATGCAATAATCAGCCAAAGCCTCTTCAATTTTACAACTATATTTTAACAGCACATCATAAAAAAGAAATTTCATCAATTATTTCAAAGCGCGTTATCACTTGCTATCATTAAATAGTACAATTTTCATAAATTCAGCAAGATAGGTACTGCTAAACTATACATTTCCGATCATATAAGTTATTTTCCATCAATTATTTCAAAGCTTGTTATCAATTGCAATCAATAGAAAATACAATCTTCATGAATTCAGCGACGTACCAATGCGCAATACATTGCCCATCAAAATGGTGGACCACGAGAATAATTTCCATTGAATATCTTGAAACATGTTATCAATTGCTATAATTGAATTTTGGGATCTTTGAAATTCCAGTGAGGCAGACGCAGTGCTATCCATCCTCAAAAACTTGCTATAGTATTAAAATTTGATACAATGTGCTTGTATTTTGGACATGATATAAGAGGGGGGATATGCACAGACAGGGATAAATATAACCAAGGGCAGTTGACGGGGAAATGAAATGTACTCATGCCTTAATCAATTCCAATTCTCAGAAGACCTATCAGATATGATGACGCGCAAATGTTTTCAGGTGAAAGGTCAGGGCATCCTGAGACAGTGCTACAGTATTAAAATTTGATACAATGTGCTCATATTTTGGACATGAAATAAAAGGGTGTATATATGCATACACAGGGATAAATATAACCAAGGGCAGTTGACTGAGAAATTAAATGTACCCATGCCTTATTCAATTCCAATTCTCAGAAGACCTATCAGATATGATGACGTGCAAATGTTTTTAAGGTGAAAGGTCAGGGTGACCTGAGACTGTGCCTCAATTTGTGACGATTGGACTATTGATTTTTTCTTCTCTCGACTGTTGTGGTTATTCACTGCATATAGATGTACCAAGTTACTACCCAGCCTCCCTGTATACTCTTTTGCAATTTCCGGCAGATTCTCTGCAGATGCTTAGTGTATATGGAGAGTCTTAAACAGCTTTAGGTCAGGATGATTATGGGTGAGAAGATCTACTGAAATAAAATGTTGCAAAGTGTCAGCTTAAATCTAAATATGCATGTTAATCCTAAGAAAATTCATTACAAAAGGCCTAAACCTCCCATTACTCCATAGGAAACAACTCTCTCTCTCTCTTTCTTTCTCTCTCTCTCTCTCTCTCTCTCTCTCTTTATACATTTCTCTTTCTGTATCTCGCTCTCTCTGTCTTCTTCTTCTCTTTCTGCTGATTCTCCCTTTTTCTGTTTGTGACTCTTTCATTCTTATTTTCTTTATGTATCATCCCCATCTTGTCATCCTGCTACTGTGTTTTGTTTGTTTTTGTCCCGTTAATTTTTGTATTTATTCATTTTTGTCTGTCATGTTTTGTTTATTTTATTCCGTAATTCTTTCAAAATGTAGTTATGAACGTATAAAGTTGAATTATCATTGTTTTTTCATTTCCTGTTACCAAATAATGTTGCAATACAAGACTAAAAAAACAATGTCAAAGATATTCCAATGCTAATTTTCTGTTACATCATTACCATTATCATTGTCTGTCATCGTACTTTATATTATGTGGAAAGAAATGAAAATGAATTCGCTCTGTGTAGAGCAACTACTATTACTATTACTATTAAACACGTCAACCTAGTCAAAGCACACACACATCCTGCATTGCATATCCCAAGCCTCAGAGAAAAGAGCCACCATC